TTAATATGTTTTAGTTTATTCTAATTTCTATTAATAATTAATAAGTTAACATTTTTTACAACAACTTTTATTGTAAGATTACAGATCTTTATGATTATTTAGAGAGCAACCACACTAGCGTCTTTCGAACGTCACCGTATCGAGCGAAATACGCTAACGTGAGGGGTGTCTACGACAATTTGAACAAATATGGTCTTTGGAATTTTATTCACTATCACTATCACTCTTTTAACTTAACAATTTAAGTACTAAACAACAAAGAATTATTGGCAGTAGTCCAAGTCTTCCCTTTTTATATACTGTTTAATATTTATGTACATGTAGTTTTAAGAATACCCATAAAATCGAAACTAAGGCTCATATTCTAAAACTCTACTCAATGCTCAAGTCAGGATTGCAATTGAAACACAAGCACTGAAAATACGACCCTAATGGCAGGGACTTGAGTGTGATTTCGAGTGCTTTAAACCATACATAAATCCTGACTTGAGCATTGAGTAGAGTTCTAGAATACGAGCCTAAATGTATCAGAGACCAAGCATCCCCATTCGACTCATGTGGTCGCTCCGAGCGTACTAGAAATAATGCGCACGCGTCTCGAGCCGACACGCGTCACGCGTGATGCGAATGAAGCTTCATACTCACGGCATGTAATCTTCAAATAAAAAATCTGAACTTCAAGTCTATGATTTTATCTGTGGTTTACATATCATAAGTGACAGTTCCCTCACCTCCCCCCACAAACTAAAATAATAAGAAATACGATTTCGCTCTGGACCTTTTGGAGGGAAAAGTGTCGTTTTTATTTTGACTTTCAAATATTTTGTGAAATCTAGTTTAAAGTGGAATAGGATAGTGCTATTGTGCCTTAATCGAAGATTAAAACGCGAAATTATACGAATCTCGAACTAAAATACCCGTATCGGCCCGTTTTAAGGAATCCCGAGTCAATCCAAGCACGCCGCCTCAAATTGCCTATCCTCTTTGTGGCGCCCATATTTACAGAAACATATTTAAACTTCATGTGTAGGCTGATGGCTTTGCCAAAGCCTTAATAAATTAAAAAAAAAAAGAAATACTGTTGTTTTTATTTTTACTTTCCGGACGTTTTACTAGCTTTTATACACTTACTGCCATCTATGGAAAAACAAAAGTACTACAACAAGAAACACTATACCAACGCCATCTTAGAAAAATAAAACGAACTATCAAGTACTTTTGCGCGCAAGGCAAGCACGGCGCTTTCTATTGAAATAATTATTGTAATCTTAACTAGATGGCCTGTTTTACAATATTGTTTAAAAAAATATTAGTAGAATTTATTTATTTATTTATTATGTTCTTGTTATTTACTTTTTGGTACAAAATAAGCATAGATAAGACCAGTAATATTATACTTGTAAATAAACCTATCCCGCTATGGTTTTAACAATTGCGCTAAACCACAAAACAGAACCTTTTTGTCATTGACTTACAATTATATGGACGTCGGGTCCGCGCTAAAAAGTGTCCGCACTTGTAAGGCGCTAAAATCGTATACAGAGCGCCAAACTCCGCTTTAGTCTTCATTTGTTCGACTGACAGCGCGATACTGCGATGACATTACAATTTAAATTTCGAATAGGTTGACTTGGGACATTTTTTCGTAGTTTTTGTATTAGACCCGTCGTCCATTTATTTGTAAGTCAATGCTTTTTGTCGAGTATTTTTTAGATCAATGACATTAATAAAATACAATTTTTAGACACGTACAGGGTCGAGATCGCCAAAGATTATGATTAAAATTTAAATTCATCTCTGTAATGTTAGCCATAAGAACGGTAGCTTAATGCAAAACGGCAGCACATCAAGGTACACATTGACAGATCTTGTTCCGTTGCACTGCAGGCGATGTTCAAACCAAAGTGTAGTTTAGTATGTTGACTATACTTTGATTTGATCCACGTATTACAGACATTGACTTACAAATAAATGGACGACGGGTCTAATACAAAAACCACGAAAAAAATGTCCCAAGTCAACCTATTTTAACGTAGTGACATGTAAAGGAATATGAAAAAGCTAAAACGTTGAATTTAAATTGTAATGTCATCGCAGTACTGTCTAATTTTGCTTGCTTCGCTGTCAGTCGAACAAACGAAGACTAAAGCGTGAATGACGCTCTGTATACGATTTTAACGCCCTATAAGTTCGGACACTTTTTAGCGCGGACCCGACGTCCATATAATTGTAAGTCAATGATTACAGACATAATATTCGGAATCAGGAAAAAAAGAACTATCTACCAACGATACTAGTACTAGCGCACTAGGTACGGCGTTCCATAGACACACTGTTTCACTATGACGTGCGGTAAAGACACAACACTTCAATATCATAGATTAATAAGCAACAGAGTGTGCTCTACTTCTATATTGTGTGACCACACAATATTAGAGTAGAGATACTAGGAATAAAATAGTCACTATGGTTACCATTTTTAAATTTAAATAATATAAGAGGAATCAGTAGGTACCTACAATAACACAACATCAATAATTTCAACAACTCGACTGTCTTTTTTTCTTTTACTTAAAATTTGTTTTTCTTTTTAGCAATACAAGCTCAAAGGTCTAAGCTCAAAGGACACAACTGACATCAATAATCAGATTTTTTGCTACAAAAGTCACATTTGACATTTGCTATGTTAAAAACACCAATATCAGAGGATTTTACTTTGTAATGTGTTCTCTGGTAATGTATGGAACTGTGTCCTTATTATATGGTCCTACAAAATAGACGGTGATTTGAAAATATACCGTTACTCAACTTATTTACCTTCATTTGTGCTCTGCCTTAGTTATTTAAAAAACATATCGTAAAAAAAAAGAAAACCTGGATAGCAAATACCAATGTGTCTGCCCAAAGCGAAGTATTAGAAATGTGGAACTTTCGGAGGACTAGCGCTAATAAAAGAAGTTCTTCTTCATCACTATCATTCACTATCCGACAGTGACATGGTGCTTTCTTTATCTGTGCTAGAGGTAGAAAAAAAAAGTTTGAAAATGAAGCTCAGATTACAAAACAATAGGTAGATAGAGCGCGCCGAACACGAAAGTGAAGCCACCAAAGCAAATACAAATTCAAAAGCGAATATATTGTCGCATTAGTACGAAACACAGCGTCGCACTGTTTACGCATCACGAGTGGTTAGTTATTTTATGTTTAAAAATGCCGTCTTGTGTCTTTAAACATTGTAAAAGTTCTTCGCAAAAACAAAAAAATAAGATAGAATATCTTTTCATAGGGGACTACTGATTATTTAACTGCTTTGTAATTTATTTACCCATTGACTTACAAATAAATGGACGACGGGTCTAATACAAAAACCACGAAAAAAATGTCCCAAGTCAACCTATTCGAAATTTAAATTGTAATGTCATCGCAGTATCGCGCTGTCAGTCGAACAAATGAAGACTAAACCGGAGTTTGGCGCTCTGTATACGATTTTAGCGCCTTACAAGTGCGGACACTTTTTAGCGCGGACCCGACGTCCATATAATTGTAAGTCAATGTATTTACCCGATATTTTTTGAAATTCACTTGGAACACAAAACCTCTACATAAATTCGTATGTGTTGCCAGATTATATCGAAATTAATTTCCTTAAATTAGGTAAATATGCATGGGTGATAAGAGCATCGAGTAATTTATGCTTTTAGATAGAAATTAAATAATGCATGCATATACATACAAGATACCTATTCCATTTACAGCGGTCCAAAATTGTTTTTTAAATTATCCTCAAATCAATATCTAATAGCCATAATGTACACAAAAGAAAATGTTCAAAAACAGCTACAATTTTAGCACTATAGCAACATGGCATAAACAGAGTGATTTTGAAAGAAAACTTGCCAAAAAAAAAATTATTATAATGTACATAATGTATAACTTCACAGGTTCTAAAGAGTTTTATTGGGAACCAAATAATTTTTGTCAAATTAGAAGATGTTCGTCAATGGTATGGAATTTTAAGTTAACTTAATAAAAGTTTTAATAAGAAAGTACTTGATGGTGCCATTGCACTACATACCAATATTAGAAACGAATGCTCGGTGTATAGACGCGAAATGGTAGTATTATAAAAAATATGCACAAAATAAAGTTTATTAAGATATTGTATAACGGTGATTGTAACAAATATTTTTAGTGATCAAAATTTTTGAATTTTAAAATAACTTAATAATATATTTTTTCCTTGTGTGATGTATGTCAAATAATAATAATTAAATATTAACTTATCATGGATAGAATTTGTTTGACATCCTAATACTTAGGTACCATATTGCAAAATAACGTTTCCAGTTTGTAACATAAGTATTATAGGAAGCAACAGAAAAAAATGCGGGAGTTTTTACGCTGCATCTGGCAATCTTACACGCACACAAATGCGCATGTCCGTAGGGACATGCGCATTTGTGGGCACTGTAGAGTGCCCATCCTAGTTGTCACGCACACAATGAATGAAAAATGAAAAGCGGCTTCACATCGTTCGTTGCATATCGACTCTTCCGAAGAACAGAGCCGGATATGATTATATAGCGAAAAGAGAATAAGTACGTTACGAGAATAATTCCCTTACTCAAACTAAGGCCTACGTAAAGGTGTTTTGAGAATTTATATATCTTATTTTATTTCGGAAATATAAAGTCGAGGACCGGTCGATCTGACATCCACAGCGAAGAAGAACGAACGAAATGTACTATGTCCTGAGAACAAGTAGTCTTGCACATAGGTCTTTGTTCTTCGGATGAGTCGATATGCTCCATCTGCCTATTGTTTTGTAATCTGAGAAATGAAGTGTGGCGTGACGCTTTTGGTATATACCGGCCGCCTTCGAGCCGCTGCGCTGTCCCGCCGCGAACTACGCGCGGGACTGCTGTGTGTAACGCCCCGACTCGCATTCGCTTCGTAAGTAAGTATAATCGCTTTCGTAAGATAAAAAAGTTCATTTAGGTAATATAAATATCTTTATTAATCACACCTAAAAGTAATAGGAATACATAAGTAGTAAAAGATCAGTCTTATATGATAAGACGCGCGAACATTGCTAGTACGTAAGGCCTCGGCCCTCTATCTCTGTACGGACCTTCTCAGGTTTCGGCCAGTACACCATTAGCGCCGCTGACACTGAAAACATCAAAGATATTAAATAGCATCATGGTCAATCACATCAAACAAAGGTTTTTTGCTTCATTTGCATTTGTTCAGGTGTCATGATCACACCTAGCAAAACACTTTTGCCCAGACTGGATTGTAACTTGTTATAATATTTGATATTACAAAAAGCAATACCTTGAAATTCTTATACGTATTACACATCGAAGCATTGCTCGCTTTTCGTTTATAATTTTATTGATATGTTTACCTAAGAGCATATACACACGGTGCAATTCGGCGGCGACACACGACGGGTAGATGACACGCGTTAACGCGATTTAAACGCGATGCAGCGAGTAAACCTTTGCACACGTTCACAAATACAGTGGCGCCGTAAACGCGCGTCATCTGCGCGTATATACACCGCAGACGCATGTATGTATCATGCATTTTGATAAGAGATAGTTTTGATTTTAGTCTTGTAATTATTTCAGTTACTTTTTGAGATGAAGCAAGTAAAAAAATATAGAAGCACGCACACTTTTCAAACATATCCTAAAGTAGATTTAAGAAAAATCACTTAGTAACTGTACTAAATTATTACTATTCGTTTTTGGGTGTTTATTTTGCATGCGTTGCACTGGACAAGAACTATAAAAAGGTTAAAAAATCACAGAAAAGTTGTCTTCTACATGAAATTCTAAGTATTAACTCTAGTGGAGTGAAACTCGCGTCGTTCGCGCGAACAAAATACGCCGTGTGCACAGGTGTTTAGGCTGTCATAGGAACCCGATTATCGTTCCATAGAGAAAATGGTCCGTTTATTGGTGGTTATACTAGCATGTCATACTGATATGACCAATAAGAATGATTCCACAATATAGAAATTTTGTAAAAACGTAACAAATATATCAGATCGATTGACGTGTTATTTATTATTAATTTATTAAATTCCTCACCAAAACTGGAAACGCCGAAGGAAACAATGGACATCTGGCAATGCGAGTCCAGCAGAGCTCCGAGAATGTACGAGCCAAACGCCGCACCGGCCCGGCCTACCATGTACATCGTACACATCGCCATCGCTCTGGAATTAAGGCATAAGTCCACATTATCACTTTGGATCGTATAAAACATTGTACCGTAAACATTATCATATAAGTCGAATACGAATATAAGGTAATGGTCCGTATTGAATTTATTATGCAACCAAATAGACAACTGAACATCTTGATGCAGATGCAACTGTAAACATGTTTAAATTTCAACTCACCGTAAGCAAGTAGGGAAAACATCAACAGCAATGCTAGCAAGTATGGAGGCTGCACAACCAGAGCACAGAGCCAGGATGAGCAAGGCAGTAGCCGAAGCGTTATCCCGCACAAACACTGAACCTATCGTCGCCATGCCACATACGACCATTATACCCCCTGGAAAAATGATGTTGTTAGAGAATGTGTAAGAAAAGTAGGTCTGGAAAAAATTATGACATTGCTGCTGACAACTCTAATTACCAATTTCCAGATTAAGGAATTCCTTGTACTACGAATACTAGATTAAACTACGAAATTGATATTGAGACGAGAATTTAGCAAATACAATTTCAAATGCGATTGTCTTATCTATACAATAAAGAAAAATTAAAGGTATTGATTATTGCCTCGTTTCCAGTTCGGTCAATACCGAACCAATGTACGGATTCTGTTTTGAGTTACAGTTCAGAAATGGGGTTGTGTTCGGATTCGGTTTAATTCAAATTTGGATTGCAAAAGTAAGGTAGCTAAGTGAACATGCTTGCAATTACAATTGAACTTGACTGAGAATTTTTATAACCCCTATTGACTTAAATCTGACTTTAAGCCAACTACAAATCATCTTAAAAATTACATAAATAACAACAATTAATATTAACGAAGTAATTAGTCTTACAATAAAGTGTCTTCTTTCCAACTTTATTGATGAACACGCCGATCGCCAGAAATGTAATTGCAAATATGACACCCATACCCATTGAAATTGGAAACACGGCGACATTCACGTTAACTTTGCACGTTGCTACATTCTGAAAGCAAAAATATTCATTATGAAAAAATAACAACGAAATGAGAGTAGAACTCGGAGAACTCTGTACTTTTAGTTTTAGCTGCCGTACTTTAGTAGATCAATTGAATTTTTATTTATTTTAAAGTTAGGAAAAACATTTAAAAAACAATCTCGGGATGTCAATTTCTTATACTGTGTTCTTGTATGTTATACTGTTTGTGAAAATTTTGGAATTAGTTAATTTAAATTAGTATAGTTTCTATGCAGGCGCTTATGGATGTCTTGATATTTTTTGTACGTTCTTCAATTACCCATAATTTTTTTTTACAATTTTTCTATTTTTATACATTTCACAAATGTCTAGTGCAACACAAACTGCCTGTATTAATTGCTTGTTGTTTAGTATACACTCCGCTTGCATGTCTGATGCAGCATGCGAATAGCAGCAGTACTGAGTCTTCATCCTTTTTGTCCATATTACTGTTCGTTTGTTTTAATTGTTCGTTTATATTTATTTATGTATTTTATGGTTAAATAGTCTTTTATTTATATTTATTTTATTTATTAAGAGTTTTTGTTTATTAAGAGGCTTCTGCCTCGCTGATCAGAATTTGCAGGATAGAATATTCATAATCCTCTGTAGCTGCGTTATACACGTGTTTGACATGTTTGTCTGTTATTAACTTGCATTGTCTTTTTTTATGTTGTTTTCAAGTTCCATTTTAAACATTTAGATCTTATTTTAATTTATCTATAAATTAATAATCATTAACATTAGTATGTGAGTTTTTTGATGTTTCACCAACCACTGAATTTAAAAAAATTAACTCTACAATCGGAATAACTTGAAATTTCTTGGCTTATTAATTGCTTGGCTTATTCTTAATTTATTAACTTTGGAAATAAAAAGAAAGGAACAGTAATTTTTCATGTTTGTTAAAAATGAAAAAAAAAAAGATCTACAAAATGCGTCCTGGAATATGTATAGAAATTCTTTTCATGTAATCTACTAGTTCTTTCTCGTACAGATTTGATTCCTCCAGTTTAAGCTGCATTAAAAAAAATTCTAAAATTATTTTACAGACATTAAATGCAGGAGGCAATAAAGTTACATTATGCCCCACCAAAGTACAGATATGCCAAAAGTCGTATGCTACATCCAAAAGATTACTAGATTACTTAAGTAATATTTTAATAACATTATGTATTTAACATAAGCCTTTGACAATAAGTACAGCATTTTACAATATTTATTTTTCTTTAAAATAACTAAGATATTATCTTGTCAGCTTTTGTACATACGAAGACATAGCTTATGGACGTAATATAAATATGGAAACTGTAAGATAGTGAAAACAATTCATGAAACGTTTATTTTTCCTTTAGACGTGTTCTCCAGGGAACACTCTTACGCCCTTTATCTTTCATTAAACATTATTTATTGAATATTAGCTGTACCGCTGTATGCGTTGCAATGCCAAAGAATGAAAAAACTGTTTTGCATTCGGCCATAGTTTTAAACGCACCCGTGGAAACAAAACGAAATCACGTATCGAAGAATTTGCAAAAAACTGACTTTTCAGTTGTAGATACATTTGTTAAAATATCTTACCCAACTTTTGCAAGCATTGGCACAACAACTCAAGAAACACACACGGACAAACATTCTTTCCATATATACGTATAAATTAATGACATTATGCAAGTAACTATATGATGTATAGAAAAGAGAGTAATTTGCAATTATTGATAATAGAGGATAATAAAGGCATGTATTATATATTACATCAACAACAAAGGAAAATTTTATGTAAACAATGATAAATTCACCGTAGTAAGTCAACTAACGTTAAGAAAACATACAAAGGTCAAGGAACTGGCAGTTTCATAATATGATACTAACCATTTCAAGCTATTCTTCATAATCCCAATAGTAAATGCCATACAAGCATTTGAATACTGCCCTCCTATCACAACTAACGTAATCGATATTTACGGAACGAGATCTATAACTCCTCGAATCGGTTTTTTTCACAGACCACATAAATACTTTTTTATATCTTATTTGGTTTCAGTTTTATTGTTAAGCGAAATCAGAGTAATTTTGTTTTTAAATGACAATAAAACTTTAGGAGCCAATATCTTAAAAGTTATCGAAATGTAAATGCGTTTAGTTATGACCAATAGGCAAATACATAGTTATACACTCGATGTCAATAATATATGCATAAGTAAATTGTAAAGAAGTTGAGTCTGTACTTTTAGTATTTTTAAAGTAAAAGTCAGTGTTACCTGCTGAAGATACACTACTAAACCTAAACATCAGTTTTTTGGAAATTTAATCTGTCTGTGCGTTCATGTATGCTAGTTTCCAGAATAGGCGAACCAATTTGGATGTGGTTTTCGATGACGTTTTAAAACAAGCTTAGATTATCATTGTTTTAACGCCGTTTCGTTTAAATCGGTTCACCGATTCCTCAGGGGACACAATAAAGTGCATTTATAATATAGTAAGTGGTGTATCTGTCATAAATATTAAGACTGGGTATTTCAACGCGGGCCTACATTTTAGGAGGTGAAGTGTGGGATCGGTAATATGAATAAAATAAGAACAGGTGGAGGAAGTTTGACACAGATACGTTGTCCATAATGGCCCAATGGCGCCTGACAGTGCAGCTGGTGGCGCGGTGTGTCGATAAACCGCTGGGCATTTTGCTAATTTTGGAATAAATGTGAATTTAATAAACAATAGGCATTCAGTTTAAAACTAAAACTTAGCAGGTTCTCAGTAGAACTTAAAGAGAAATATCTCCATATAAAAATGTAAAAAGTTAGATATTTTATTCTTACATAATTCGTTTTTTGTTTTAATCTTAGATGTATCTTATAGTAGAACAATCGTGTTTGAGCTCATTAACTTTGTAATGTTGATAGCTTACAGACGATGACTTTATTGACTCTATGGGAGTCTACTGCTTTGCATAATATGTTTTTAGATCAATTCAAAGTTTTATTCACATACATGTTCGTTATGCGATTATACTTACAAGTGTAGATGTACTGTTGATTTTGTCTGCAATTATTTCACAGATAGTAGTACTTTCGTTGCTCGTGTTTTGAAGAATATCGTTCAATATATCTGGCACCCAAACATATAAACCACTGGACCTAAAATTGTTTACAAAATGTTATAAAAAATGGTAAGCTAAGCTGATGAAATCGTTCAGCGTTATACTCATGAGTCGTCAGAGTCATGACCAAGGCTCCACAATCCATAAGTGTCTAGCCCTTGCATGGCAGCTACGCCAATGACCACTTTTTTAACCAGTCGCACAATACATATTGGTACATAGAGGTAGTACCTCTAATCTAATTAGTATAATTAAAGTTTTAATTTTTGATCAGAATTATAACTTTCCATTCAAATTATACACATTTAATCCTAGAATCTGCTTTATGGTAGATATGTTTCTGACCAAAAATAATACTTACAACATGTATACAGCAAACATAGACACATGTGAGATAAAGACGCATCTCAACAAAGGAGGCTTGAAAAGCTGTTCGAAATTCTTGAGGGATTCGGCAAAATCGACTCTGTGCTGAAAGTGTGTTATGTTGGCTATCCTTTCTACCTATAAAAATGGATGAGTAGTATATTTTAAAAAACGAAGCTTTAAGTGGTACTCAATTAAAAAAAGTCAGTTCTTCTTAATGTTACATGGAAACCATAGTACAAATAATTTGTTATTGTACAACGGTGCAACCAGTACACCAAAAGCAGAAGAAAAAGGTGTATATATCAGAAAATATCGCAAAATTTAAGTTTTATAAAACGTTAGTAATAGCAGTAGTTTCCAAGAATCGCATCTTCAGTAAGATAAGCTCCAAGTCGTCGAAACTGTAGAAGGTTTTAGAAATAGCAGAAAAGTTAAGAATGTCCAAGCCTCGTAAAGCATCAAGGTTTCCACCATCACCGACAAACGGCACCTGACTTGGATCCAGGGATTGCTGCGCTGTCACTCGAGTTACTAATGGATTGTATTCTTCGGGAACGCCACAATTCTGACGACATTTCTGCAGCTGTTGTTGGTGATAATGCTTTTGTGAGTTATGATTATGAAGATCGTTGACTACTATTTGTAGTAACAACTTGCTTTACGTATGAAAACAAACAACTTTACAATGGAGACCTCTTTTAAATCGCTAAAAAACAATCTGCTATTCAATACATTTTGGTCGGGAAAGTATAAGGGAGACGTACCGTAGACGAACTTCTTCGTCAATGTACATTAACAATATTTTGCTAGTTGTCTGCGCCATTTTTGCCTTCAGTGCACTGTCAACATTCAAAGTATATTTTTCCGTTCGACGATTTTTTCGGATCTTGACTTCAAAACGCTGTGTTTAAAGTACTGTAAGTGATATTATATTTTGTGACAGTGTCATATACTAGCTAGGCGCATAGTTAGAATACAGAACTTAACGCATTTCAGCGATAATTGCGCAGGGTAACAATTTCTTAACCGATTATTGTATAAGTAGGTAGTTACCTCAATAATGGATACCTATGTATCCACAATACTACATAATCGACATTGGGGTACCCACATCACTGGTTGTATAGTGTCTTTCATAATTAAATGTTTAATTATTTGTTTAGATGGGGGATCATTAAAAAAAATGGCCGTTTAGATTTTTCGCCTACTGCTTTCACAAATTTAAAGGGATCATTTAAATACGTGCCCTGGTTAATAGAGTGTACCTTATACTGGATATCCAATATTGAATAGTATACCCTGTACTGGGTATCCGTTATTAGGGTACATGTGAAAACATGTTGATTTTTCTAATTAAAACAAAATAATTTTATAGAAAATAAATGAACATAGATATGAATGTAACTCAAAGTCAAAGTCAAAGATTATTTATTCCGTAAAATAAATTTACACTTGAAAACGTCACATTTAAGCTACTGCTCGTTCACTACGCTGACCTCCCTGAGAAGAACCAGCAAGAAACTCTAGGGATTGCTCTTTTCCAATAAACTTAAATGCTATGAAATACACTTTGAATCAAATTTGTGTGGATTCTGGAGCCATGTCGTCTTTCCATACATGTTTATCTAACACGTAGTCTTCAATTTTGTAATATGATTTTCGACCAAAATATTTTTAATGTAGTTTTTAAACTTAGGAAATGATAAACTTAATATATGTCCGGAATCTTATTGTACAAACGTATACAGTTCCCCATAAAAGAGTGGTTTACCTTGGTTAAACGAAATCGTGGTACCATGAGTTTGGACTTAGCTCTTTTTGCAATACAAATATGGTTTGAATATCTGCCGCTTTACCCCACATGAGAATCCCGTAGGACATTATACTATGGAAGTAACTAAAGTAAACTAGTCTAGCAGTACTAACATCGGTAAGCTCACGTATTCTGCGGACTGCGTATGCAGCGGAGCTTAATCTGCTGGCTAGAGACGATATTCATTTTCTAATGTAGTCTTTAGATAGACAAACACTGTGACTGCAATAAATATAAAATTTTAAATATTATATTAGTGTTTTTTTCGAATGTTCAAAAAGTATCCGATATTTGGTACGCCTCCCTTAAGCATTTTATACTGAGACATTTTTATTTTGTCTTTATACCTAATACAAGTTAGTCTTCAGGATTACAACAACTTGTTATCTGTCTCATAACTAACTGGCTTCCTATATTTTTATACATACATACATTCCGTCACGCCTGTCTCCCACTACTGCATGCAGGGTGACCATGGCGAGGGGAGACTACAAGCATTTACTTGTTACGCTCCTGAAACCTCTTTCGCCTCCTACACTCGCATCACTCTCTTCGTACATGCCCGTTTATTCTTAGTGCTTTTGATCTGGCCTTTGTTAAATACATGCCCATTTCCCACGTTTCCATCGACAGTTACTCTATTTTGTGTCATAACTTTACTAACATCCATCCTTTCTACTTGATGAAACCATCAACCTCTTATATCCCGGTCACTACTAATATCTTTCAAAAGTCAATGCTCTCTTTATTATACTAATCCACATTATGTCTGTAAGAGTAATACCACACGTAGTACGCAAAACTCTCATTCCTCCAGCATTCACCAACTGTCATACTTTTATTGCCGTACCCAATACTCACTATCGCACGCCAGTAAATATCATGTATATCTTAGCAAAATATATCCATTATAGAAATAATTGTGGATATATTTACACTAGTCATGATAATAAATTTATATTTTATAATTATTTATTATATATATTATTATAATATTAATTATTAATAATATAATATGATATATATATAAAATTACTCACAGGATAATTATGCTCTGAACAACCATGATTCCATTTATACATTTTAGCCAAGACTGGGAGCGCTTCCTGAGGTCCTTTAGCAGATAGAATATATCGAGGGCTTTCTGGCAAGAAAGCAAGAAATACAGCGGCAATCAACCCCGGGACACACCATGACCACATGAAGACTCGCCAGGGTACGATATTTACTGTTCCTATGGAGTACGACCACTCTCCTGGAATTATCAACCAGGCTAAACCTGAAACAAAACTTAACAGCTCAACATCACCTTAATGACAATATCAAATTCACTCTTATGATTTTATCCTATATTATTTGGCAATTAGAAAGAACAATACAAGTCAGAAAAGCGACACGATAGACAGCGACAAATATATTTGTCGGTCGTGAATGTTTATCATCATCGCGTTACTTCTAACGATGAATTAGTATCGAGTAATGTACACACCATAAGAGCATCATCTATCTCTGTTCAGCACCCTAATGTTGTGTTCCTCATAAGATACGACATTAACTTCCCTTATCTGATCTAAACAACTTCGTCTGATCTTTCCCTGCCTCTTTTTTCTTCTAACTTACCTCCTGTTAAGCTACCATGACATTTAAGATGCCCAAATATCTTTCCCCTTCCGTCCTCTATCGTCATTGATAAATCTTTATTTTCCTGCACTATTCCTAAATTTATGTACACGCAGTATTAGTCAAAGAAAAGTACAATTAGACTCGCTTACCTGGTAAGATGATGAAAGAAAATGAGATGAAGACGGACCCCCAGGCAATGGCCGAAGCTCTTCGAGAGTTAATGTGCATTTCTCCTAAGTAAGCGTAGACTGTTGCGCTGGACGCTGATACCCTGCATAAAGGAGAAGAAAAGTGGATAATTTAGGATTAGTTAATATGGGATTATAAATCAATTATGTACATTACGAAATGAACACGTTTTGATTCCTTTATTCCATCTCTTTTACCATGTCTGCTGCTGTCCGACTATGCAATTGCCTTTCCTTAAACCTATTTGACGATCTTTTACTACTGATTTTTTTATGGTAAGTAAGGGACAATAAGAAACATTTCATTTTTAGCTATAATGAAATGAAAAATTATGCCAAATCTGGAAACATTTGTAATTTTTTTTGAGATTTATCCACAAAAAAAGAATTCTGAATTCGAAATTTAAAAAATAAATAAATAGAGTCTCACAGGCATCCGGTAAGCATCCTGAGCCCCGCCAGCATCCAGACGGTGGTGGCGAATGAGGAAGCGAGGGAGAAGAACACAGAACCTACCATGGCCGGTAGCATGACCGTGCGGCGCCCGCGCGAGTCGCTCAGGTAACCCCATAGGAACGATGTGCATACTATACCTGGAAGATGGACAAGCTACACTTTACTAATATATGTTATAAACAGAGTAGATATAGGAACCTCCTAAAATGACCGTACTACAAAGGAGACTCGTCAGTCATAATTTGTCGTATTATATTTGAAACTCATCATAAAGTTCAATTAAGTGGATTTTAAAGTTTAAAGACACTAAGTAGACTTTATCTATAATATAGGTTGTACATAGGTTATTTTTCGGAATGTTTTGGCATATTCATTGCATGTCGAAGAAGCTTCAAAATCCTTGGAAAAAATGTGAAGTTCCCAACCCATATTGGGATTGCTTAGCGAGCTATGATCTAAAACATCTTCTTAAAGGTGACGTATAAACGGTTGTTGATTATGTTAACATTGAGTCAAAAGTCAGTCTTTTTGATGCTGAAGATGTTAAACGACATGATTTTATAATTTAAAAAAAGATATAACAGTTTCCCTAAAAGTTGATCATTCGGTCATATCATATCACGGTTCTCAGTTTGTGGATAATTGTGGTTTATTTCCACGATTGAAACCTTTATGTAATTAAGTGTACGTCAACAATATTGTCGTCTTTATTTAGTTACTCGTAAATCTAAGTTATCGTCACAACTTCTCCTACTGCATCAACTCGTAAAGTGAGGTGATGACAGAAATTGTTGATAGAGTATGTAGGTACATTTCAACGTTTTGCGAGAGGCTGAAAATAAAGAAGAGCTTACTGCTCGCCCTTGCACATTAGAGAAGTGCAGAGGTACAACTAATATAACAATGATCTGAGCGTTTAAAGTTAAAATTCTTTTTCTAATAAAGGTGTTGATTTTATTGAAGTTATTGATCCCAATTAATTCTTTATGAACTTAGAAAGCGTTATTAAACTCTAATCGCTAATACATACGGTACTTTCTTATACGTACACCGGGTGTTATAATTACTTAG